CCTCTAGGACGGCTTCGCGGACGAGGCCTTTGCCTTTGCCGAGCACCATGCCGACTTCTTCCAGGCGACTTTTTTCCGGCCAGGAGTTGGAACCGCACCAGCGGCGGGGGGGCCTTTCTCTTTCTATTTCATCCCAAAGTCTGAGGTCCGTGCCGGGTTCTTAGAACAAAAACCACCCACATGGCTTCGCAAAATCACGGGGGAGCCTTCAAAATGGGTGGTCTCCTTTTGGAACCTCACAGGTCCCGGGGCCCAGGAAACGGAGCGTTAACCCGCGTTCACGCGCGAACGAACGCGGCGTTCCTCGCAGGCGGCCAAGCAGTACCTCGAGCGCGGAGGTGAAGAGCATCCGCTGGACACGTGAAAGCACCGATCGGATCAACTTCCGCGATTCGATCGTTTTTTGTTTGTTTTTGTTTTCCTCTCTGTCTCGCTCTCTGTTTGCATATTATATATATATAGTATATGTATATGTGTTTGTATTTCCTTGTTTTCGTACATTTGCCTGTTTTTCCTCTGTGTTTGTTTGTTTGTTTGTTTGTTTGCTTCTCTTTTGTTTGTTTTAGTTTGTTTCTCCCCCCTGTTTTTCTCCTTCTGTTTCTTCTTGGCGGCATGGTCACAAACAGGGGGGGAACTCCCATGCAAACAAAACCCACCTTTTTGGTGCTGGGCGCTCCCCCGTTCCGCCGAGGACTGGACGCAGCTGCACCAACGCTTCGTGGCGCAGTTCGAAGGCCGCCTGGAGGCCTTCCTCGCTTTGCGAGGGGCGGATCTCGAGGCGGATCGGAGCGACGAGCCGCGGTCCTCGTCCTTATCTCTCGCTTGGTTGGTTGTTGGTTTTATAGAGTCCTTTTCTATATATATATATATATACACGTATTAGATCATATTTATAGACATATATATATACACATATATATATATATAGAATTATATAGAATTACAGATGTAAGGGTTTCATCTTTTCAAGTTTCAAGCACTTCATTTTTTGGAGGGTGCAATTTGCTTCTTGCAATTTGCTTGCGATTTGCTGGGATTCACTGGGCAGGGGTTCCGTGCTGCCCTGGAGTGCGCGCACGACGACGCGGAGGCTGGTGGGTTCATTGTCTGGCTCACTTGTCCGATGACGTGCCCCGCCAGAGCTCGAGCCGGAACTCGAACCCACCCCCCCGCCCCCCCCCCCCGGGGAAAAGTTGAGCCCACCGGCCAGTGGAGAAGTGGCCCCAAAAGGTTCGGCTTTGTTTCGTCCTTTCGGCCGGGCAGGCGGACGTCATGGTTGAGCTCATGCTCAGCATGTCTGACTACCAGCCCTGGCTGAAGTCAATGCTGGCCCTGGCGGACGAAAGGCAGAAGGACGGCAGAAGGCAGAAGGCATGGTTCAAGGTGAGAGAGGCGCAAGGCGCTTGCGTCATGCTACTTGGAATTCGCATGTGATTTCCGGAAGCCATTGCGGAACTGAGGACCATGATGAAAGCGCTCCCAGCTTGCAAGATGGTGCCGAAAGCGCCTTGCTTACGCCCGACTTGATTGAGGAAGCAAGCGCCACTGCATTTTGTTGAGTCCAGGCTTATAAGGTCCCGCAAAAGCAACAGCTGGAAGTCAGGAATGGCAACAAGTGCAGGTGGCCCAATGCTTCAAAATGCCCAGCGATTGCATGTGACGGATGGGACATGTGCGACACGGATCACTCTGCTTTATGAATGGCTTGAGGAGTGATTCGGCAGAAACCAGTGCCGAATTCATGCCACCCTCAATCGTTGGCCAAGGTGAAGGCGCCGCTGATGACTTGGATGCCTTTCGATAAAAGGGGCGCTGAGCCAAAGTCATGGCGGCACGGCGCTTTTTGCGGCCGGTCTCATTCGACCGGGTCAGGCAGCGGAGCTCGCTGCCAGCATCGGCAGACGCCTTGGAGATGGCGACGACATGCCGGCGGCGAGAGCCTGAATGTGCCATGGCTGCCATGGCTCGGCGAAGTGCAGTTGGTTGCGCAGTGCAGTTGGTTGCGCAGCGCAGTGGGACGACTGAAGGTGCCCGTGTACTTCTATGGGGCAGTGCGAGAGGACTTTTAGCTGTTGCACACCATCCGTGCGAGGGATCTAGATGGCAGGATCAGCGTCCTTTGGCCGAGCTGCGTCGGCACTTGGGGTGCCCGTGACGTGAGCTGGAGTCTGCGGCATTGTTTGCTTCGCAGGTACTTCAGCGGCGCTGCCAAGGGCGAGTGGCCGTCGCCCTAAGTGCCCGCCCGAGGGAGTGCAAGGCGGGAGTGGCGCAAGGTCGGGGCTGCCGGACGTGACCAAAGAGGCCATTGCCGCAACCTCGGCCCTGCATGGGTGTTGTGGGGAAACATTTTACATTCTTGCTTTTTGTGGTTAAGTGGTTGAAATCCAAACACTTCACTGCTAAAACAAATGATTTTTTGCTCCCCTTCCAACGTCAAGCTCGGCCCGGCCGCTTGGCCGCTTGGCCGCTTTGGGCCGATTTTCAGCTTGCCGAAGCCAAGGCGCGGCTGCCGGCAGATCGAGGCCCCCAGGTGGATGAGCGGCATGGCGTGACCGTCGTGGGAGCCGCGCCCTGGGCCGGGGGCCACGGAGTCGGAAGGTTCGGCTGGCCGGGCATCGGCGCTCTTCGGCCAATGGGTCGGGAAGTAGCAAGTAGATGCTCTGATCTTTGGCCAATGGCTCCGACCAATTGCGCTTGTGATATTTTTTCAGAAGCTCTTCTGATCTCTCAGAGGTTCCTTTAGTGCTCAAGGGGAGAACGTTTGTTGATTGGGGTGGACTGGCTTGGAAGCGAGCCGCCAAGAGCGTGTGTGCGCAAGTTCCTCACTTTTCTTCGAATCGGCCCCATGCCGGTTCATCAAGCTGAATTCAATCAACGTTCATGCTGTCGCAAGAGTTTTTTGCTTTGGGTCATGCGACATCTGCTTGTGAAAATAGGGCTTTACTGGAGTTGATGAAGCGCAGGCTCCTCAGTGCCGTTTACGGCGCGGACTGCTTGGCAACGAGGGTAGAGGAAGCTGCTCGTCGTCAATCGCCCTGTGGCCCAGCCGGAAAGTGAAAGACCCGCCCAGCTGGCGGCTCTCGTAACCCTCTGGCGTCCCCCAACCTTGCATCATTTTGGACGGCCGGGTGCCTTCCTGCACCCATTTGCCATCTCATGCTTTGGTTTGCTGTCGCGGCCGCCCTCACTTGGCTCATCACCGCAGCTGCATTCTGGGCAATTTGATCAAGTTGTTGGCAGTGGTAGCGCCAGTCACGTCCAATAGCACCTGATGCCGGAGCACTCATCAACAACTTTTGCCATCCTGTTTTACTGTGGAGTTGGTGAAGACCGATGTTTGGCCAAACAAGGAAAAGGCTCAACCTGACTTGCAATGTTGTGAATCGCCACGCCAGCCTCCTGGATGCCTGATTTTTGTCCACCATGGCAGATAGAAGCCTGCCACCCGCGGGCGCTCGCCCTTTGGCAAATCCGCTCGAAAAGGAACGGATCTCTCAAACTTCTCGATCTTTGTGAACGGCGCCTCAGTCTCTTTTTTATCGTCTGAGCTCCAAGAGTCTTCTCATCTGCTTTCTGAAGCAATGGAGCATGACGTCACCCGCCATCTCCGAGACCAAGGGAAGATTGAGCGTCTGGAGTGCCAAGCGTAGACCAAAGAATGGAGAGCTTATGGCCTCACTCTTTCCTAGCACAGAAACCTGGCCAAGCAACCACTAAAGAGACGTCTGGACAAAGGAACCCTTTGACAGAAATGCGTGCACCAAAACAGACAAGGCGCTCTTGCGGCGAGTTGCGATCCCCATTGTTGTTGGCAAACAAACAAGCATGCGCACGTAGAGGGTAGCTCTTTTCTCTTTTTGTCGCTCCTCAGTTCCAAACTTTGGCAAATCACTGGAAGGATGGCGGGAGGCTTGCCCCATATGCTTGGTGCTGAAAGGTAAGCCACACGGTCTCTGTGCTGTCCTGACTTCTCTGAGAGGTTCAAAGCAACATCCCAACATCCAGATCGCTTTGACGTGCCGACATCATGCCGTAAGTACAACCGTTTTGCTCCATGGTCACCTTCCCGGACCGGCCACGAGGCCTCATACTGGTGGCACGTCCTGTACATGCCCCATGCCTGTGGTTTAAGCCCCAAGGGGCCCAATGTAGGAATTAAGCAGGACTGACCACGTTGCTGTTGAGGTCCCGGAAAAGATGTCCACCTATCATGCACATTCGGCCTGAGCTTTGAGGTCCACAACTACAACCTCCTGGTCACTGCGGACCTGGACCAGGCTCCAGCGAGGTAGCTGGTCCCCCGTTGCGCGCGCAGGAAACCAAATCACCATGCAACCAGGAAATCTAGGTGAACCAAGCTACGCAAATTGCTATAATTCACTCATCTGAATTCAAGAATCTTTAAGAAACCTTGATCATGAACGGAATCGCTGGACTCGTGTTACCGCGCGAAACCGCGCGCGAGGCCGAGCTCATGGCGCGGTGCCGCCGCATCGTGCGCCATTTGCGACGAGCGCATCGCGCGGTCGCGCGGTCGCGCGGCGTGGAGCTGAGGCTCGGGGCACCAGTTCCCGGCATGGCGGCCCGGCTGAAGTGGAGACCATGGCCTTGCCCCACGAAAAGGGCGTGGAGGCGCCGGAAGACGAGAGAGGCGCCGGTCAAAGCTGCGACGGCGATGGCCAGGTCGCCTGCAATTTGCTGGACGCAGACAGAACTCCACCAGCCAAGGTGCACGCACAGCTTGGTATGGTGACTTGCTCGCCGTTTGCCGATAGAGGGAGTTATTTGTGCAGTGCTTGGCTGTTTGTGGGTAGGGTACTCTTACGTCTTTGCGTAGCTATTTGGGTACGTTTTGGGCATGTCTTTTTTAGGGCAACCGCCCCCCCAGAAAAAAGGAAGCGTTTTTGCTTTTGAGAATCCGAAATCCTCAAAACACGGCATCCATTGGACGTGAGCTTTCACCGATTGAATTCACTCCGCCTCGCGCTTCTCAGCTTGGGTGCGGATTTGGGCCCGGCGGGCAGAGAGCGTATGGGCTCCGCACCCCTGGCCTGCTTGAGGTTGCGTTTCGCGCCGTTAACGCGCCCGTTTCGCGCCCGTTTTCGGCGTTCAACACCATGGTGCGTGTGTGCTGCCGTGTGCCGTGCCGTGCGCCAGATCTGTCCTGCTTGCGCATTGAATTGCCAAAGCCGGGGCCAAAGAGCCGCAGCCGGCGAGATCCGATGGATCGCTCGTCTGCCGGGTTTTGCGGTCGTCGTTCCGTGTGCTGAGGCGCCTGCAGCGGCGAAGGACCGATTTTTCCGAGCGACTGATGTTGCAGCCTAGCCGTTCCAGGGAGCACAGAGACTCCCATGGCTCCAAGTGCAGGCAGGTGGGGTTGTCTCACAATCAGGCGACCCCCTAAAACCATTGGCTTCCAATGAGTTTTGCCTTGAACGCCATGAGCAGGTTCCCCTGCCTTACAAGGGACCCACAGTATCAGTTCGAAGTTCGTGAGTTGGCAGGTGATGAGGCCTTCTTCAACAAGTTCTCCCGGCAAAATGCCGCCTTTGGTGCAGAGGCTGGCTCCGCTGGCTGTTTGAAGGGTTGAAAATCGAGTGAGAGGGACCAGAACGGCATGCCATGCATGACAGAAATTCAATTTGCGTTCGACCTGGTCCTATTTTCTCATTCCTTTGTCATGCTGGAATCAAATAAAGGCTGTACTGTACTCCATGTCTCTAGCCCAAGGCGATGAACACAGCTTCCAGCCAAGTTGCGAGGCCTTTATCTGACCCGAATCGCTCTCAAGCGCCTGCAGGTGACCATGAAGATGACCAAGATGAAGATTTTGGTGGTCGGATGCAGCGGCGTCGCTGTGGAGGTTGCGCTTCTCTTGTGTCACCTTTGGATGCATTCCTGGCTGTGACCAGATCGTGAAGAATCTGGTTTTGCAAGGGCTGGGGGGAGCTGCTTCCTCAGTTGCTCGCGAGAAAACTCGCTCGCGAGCCAGAAAGATCTCAGGTCACCTTGATCGACTCGAAGCCAGCAAAGATCCAGGACGGCGCGAGACAACGCGAAACGGTCGATCTGAGATCGCCCTTCCTCCCGCAGGACTTGGGCACCAACTTCTTTTTGTCGGAGGTGGGACTTGCGAACGCATGGCTCGTGGCTCGCAGTGCACCGGCACTCTCTCTCTCTCTCTCTCTGTCAAATGCAGGCTGACATCGGGAAGCCTTTGGACACTCTGCTGGTCCCTAAATTCCAGGCCAGGTTGCAGAAACATTCCTCCAGCATGTGGACGCTTTCACATGAGCCGTAGTCAACGTTGCTAATATTAATATTCATTCTGGCTTTTCATGAACGTGCCTGTTTTTGGCGAGTATCCGCTTGTCCTAATGATTTTTTTGGTGGGTGCGACCCATTCCCTACAGTACTGACCGTTGCCTATGCAACTTGGTGCAGGAGCTCAACCCTTTTTGTGACATCCGGACGGCCAGCGAGCTCAATGCTGAGGCACCGATTAAGCCCCATACTGGCTGAAGGTGGTAGGGAACGACCAGCACCAGCCATTCCACTTCTGTGAAGTGTGTTTAGACACCTTAGACCAGTTTCTAGAACCTCTGGGTTTGGGCTTGGATTTGCTTAGACAAGCCTCAACTCCACATGTAGGCGCCTTGAATGTTTGAATCCGTACATTTTGGGTTCAACCCCTAGAAAAGTCACACCTGGTGTACATGTTTTCTTCAACACCTTTGGAGGTTGTCTCTTTCTTGATGCCTACACATCAAAGAAAAAACGAAAGAAACTGATGCCAGATCCGGAGAAAAAAAACAAAAAACGAAGAGGTGGTGCAGCAGCACAGCGCGCTTCTCATTTGCGAGAGCATGCCGCTGCCCACGCTGCTCCAGCGGCTTGGCCGTTGATTGACGGGTGAGCCGCGGCCGCAAAACCGATTTGGGTAGATGGAGGTTAGAAAGGGAGCCCAACCAGAAATGGCTCTGGGTCAAAGCCGTTTTGGGATCCCATTTTGGGGGATTGGTGAATTCACCGCCCATTTTAGGACCTGGTTTAGTGGGGATTGGGATGTTCACTGGGGGTACGGGATGTTGACCCACGGCCAAACGGCCGCGGAGAGTCCGCCTTGGCGATTCTTTACATGGTTCTGGGTAGACCATGTTGATACCAGATTTCGATCGCCTTGGTTTCTGGGCGACCTAAGTTTAAGAGGAACCGTGGCTCTTTGTTGTGCTTTGCCTGGAGTTGGGAAAGCTTAAAAAAGAAAAGTCCAAGGGACACCACAGGGACATGATCGACCACCGGGCCGACGGATGGAGACATGTGCCAAACTGGCGACTCAGTCGAGCTGTTTGCTCGCGCGCGTTCGAGGTGGAACGAGTACTGCCGGAATCAGCCAAAGCCTGTGGCAGTGAAGGCCTTGGACAGGAGGAGGGCAATGGTTCGATCCTGGCAGCATGGGCATGTCTCTTTTTTAGGGTGCCCCTTTTTGCCGTGGGTTGAAAAGCGCTAACAAAAGGAAAACAACAACTCGGATCGGTCCCCAGCCGCATCAATTGCAAGGCACCTGCAATTTTGTTTCAAGCTCCTTCCGCACTCAGTTCCTCTACGTGCGCACGGGCGGTGTCTTCGGCAACGTCTTTGTGGACTTTGGGCCCTCGCACATCCTCGCGGATGCAAACGGGCAGGCGAGTCGAGTTCAGACTGATCAAGTTATGGCCGGGAACTTGCAGTGCAGCATCTCCATCTTGAAGCTACCCCGGCCGTGAACTGTGAATAGCATTATTTCTTCGCATGACGGTTTGCATGAAAGTGTCGCCACGTGTTTGTATCTGTGGCTTTTGCATGAATGGCGCCACGTGCGTATCTGTGGCCTTTTCCTTTTGGCTCCTCCAGCTTTGTGCCAGCCACGCGTCATGCCCTCAGTCTGCCGTTGTGTTGCGCGGCCGTATTTGGAGCCAGCGTGCGAATGCCAGAGGTCTCAGCATGGCGGAGGCCGGCTTGCCATTGATTCCCCTTGCTGGTGTTTTCCCCCAAACAGTGCGTCCACTGAAGGGTTCTTACGGTAAGAGTAGAGGCCCGGTGCCAGATCGAGGAGCCCGGCCTTGCCGCGAGCATTTTACGTGGTATGTGCCGCAAAATCATGATGTTGCATGATGTCGAATTGCGTTTCGATTGCGCAGGCTTGCCCGAAATGAGGCCCGCAAGTTTGTCCGGGAGCATTTTGCGTGGTTTTTTTTTCTTCTCAAAATCGTGATGATGCATGATGTCGAAGTGCGCTTTGACTGCGCAGGCTCGCACAAAATGAGGCCCGCGAGTTTGGCCGGGAGCATTTTGCGTGGTATTTTCGCACAATCGTGATGTTGTATGATGTCGACGTGCGTTTCGACTGCGCAGGCTCGCAGAAAACGAGGCCCACGAGTGTGGCCGAGAGCACATTGCGTGGTATTTGCCGCAACGTTGGTCTTGTTGTATGATGGCGTAGTGCGTTTTGACTGCGCAGGCTCGCAGAGTATGCGGCCCGCGAGTCTGGCAGCGATCATTTTGCGTGGTAGGTGCCGCAAAATCATGATGTTGTATGACGTCGAAGTGCGTTTCGGCAACACTGCCCATGATATAGTTCGTGTAAGTTTAGTGTTGGGCAAGTGTGCTCTTCGCTTTGATGGTGGGTGGAAGAGTTGCTGCGGGACATAGGTACAGAAACTTACAGTGACGCGAATAATTCCCCAACCACGCGCTTGCGCGACTTGCTCTCGTAAATCTAGGGCTGTTGGCAGTGCGTCGCGTGCCTCAGTCGGCTTGTTGCGGGAAACCTCCAATGCCATGTTTCACGCATGAATGCATGAAGATGCTGAAAACCACCCACTTCATGCCGTTGTCGGAATACAGGCGCCCGCAGGATGCTCGTGTCTTTCCAGCCCGTGGCCGCCGGGTGAGCTTGATTGTTTACGGCCGTCATTTGGGGTCTCTTGCCGGGATAATTTGGAGTCCTTCTCAGGTTTCGGATAACCCTTGGCGGTTCGGATTGGTTTGGGGGCTTGAACCCCTGGCTCTTGAGGGATGGGATCCTCCAAGCCAATCCAAGGCACCAATCAGAGAAGCTTAAGGTTGGTTCAAAGGGAAGCCAAAAGAATCTGCGATGCGTTTTGGGGGTCCAAGTCCCTATGACGAATACCCCGGGCATTTGCAAGCTTCGACCTTCGAGGTGGCGTTCGTTGCAGCGGGGCCCTCGCCCAAACCTGTACTGGCAGGCGCCCGATGAATTTGCTCCATGCGTGGCTTTCGCTTATTCGTTCGCCAGGGAGCCACCTGCGCGCTCGGCCAGAGGTTGGGGCGTTTCGATGCCGTGTGCCACGGGGAAAAATCCAAATTCTAGCCGTCCTTGCGCATCGTCCCTAAACAGGGCCACCAGTTTTTGTTGCAATCTAATGTGTTGACCCAGTATGAACCAACCCCAGTCTTTTAGTAGGGGCGCTTTTGGGTTAATCAGACCACTTTTGAGGAAACTCTTAATTTTTGGGCAGTCAACCAAACGAACCTGGACTCAAGGGGTCGAATTCCTCCACCAGCGCTGGGTTCTTCGACTTCCGGCGCGAAGTGCGGAAGTTTGAAGAGGCGCACGGGCGCGGGCTGGAGCGCTCTGGTCTGGAGCGCTGCACCGGCGTGGCGCTGGGAGGCGCTCCTCTGTCTACGGCTGATTTGGGGGGGGGGGGAGTAGGTGGCCCATCCAAATGTCATCCCACGTCAATTATGCGTATCATCCTTATAGTAGTTATTACATGTATTACTGTCTTTGTTAAGACTATGACTATCATTCTTTGTTAACATTCTTAATGTTTGGTAGGTATTCTTCTTCTTCGTCTTCGTCTGTTTCATGTATATGATTATTATCATCATTTAGTCGTTATAGGTATATATGTAAATATATATATATATATATTTATTTATATATATATGTATATATATATATATATATATATATACAGATAAAGACACCACCACCACCGCCGCCGCCGCTGCCGCCGACGCCGCCGCCGCCGCCACCGCTACCGCTACCGCTACCGCCGCCGCCGCCGCTGCCGCCACCGCCTGCGCCACATACGCCGCAACAACAACAACGACAACGACAATGACAACAACAAGAACAACGGCAACAACGACAACGACAACGACAACGACAACGACAACAACAACAAAATCAACACCAACAACACCAACACCACCAATACCACCACCACCAACAACACCAACACCAACACCAACACCACCAACACCACCAACACCACCAACACCACCAGCAACAACCAACAACAACCAACAACAACCAACAACAACCAACAACAACCAACAACAACCAACAACAACCAACAGTGACAACAACAACCAACAACAAGAGCAAGAACACCAAGAACAACAAGAACAACAAGAACAACAAGAACAACAAGAACAACAATAACAACAAGAACAACAACAACACAACAGCAGCAGCAACAGCAACGGCAACAACAGCAACACAAACAACACCAACAGCACCAACAACAAGAACAACAAGAACAACAAGAACAACAAGAACAACAATCACAGCAAGAACAACAAGAACAACAAGAACAACAAGAACAACAAGAACACCAACACCGACCGACAACGACAACGACAACGACAACAAGAACAAGAACAAGAACAACAAGACCAACAAGAACAAGAACAACACTACCAACAAACCCAACAAGAACAACAAGAACAACGAGAACAACAAGAAACACAAGAACAACAAGAATATCAAGAACCAGAAGAACAAGAGCAAGAAGAACCAGAAGCAAGAACAACAAGAACAGCAAGAACAAGAACAACAAGAAGGACAAGATGGACAAGAAGAACAAGAAGAGCAAGACGAACAAGCATAACAAGAAGAACAAAACACACAAGAAGAACAAGAAGAAAATAAAGAACAATAAGAACAAGAAGAACAAGAAGAGCGAGACACACAAGAAGAACAAGAATAACAAGAAGAACAGTCACAATACCAAGAACAAGAAGAACAAGAAGAAGAAGGAGAGGAGCAAGAACAAGAAGAAGAACAACAACAAGAGCAAGAACAACACCAACACCAAAACCAACACCAACAGCAACGCCACCTCCAACACCAATTCCCACTCCAACTCCAACACCAACCCCAACACCAGCAACAACAACAATGACAACGGCAACGACAACGACAACGACAACGACACCGACAACGACGACGACAACAAGAAAAACAGCAACGGCAACAAGAACAACAACAACGACAACGAAAGAGACAGCAACAACAACAAGAACAACAAGACCAACAAGAACAACAAGAACAACAAGAACAACACTACCAACAAAGCCAACAATAAAAGAATAACAACGCGAGCGACAAGAACAACAAGAACAACCAGAACAACAAGAATATCAAGAACAGGAAGAACAGGAACAAGAAGAACAAGAAGAACAAGAAGAACAACAAGAACAACAAGACAAGAACAACCAGAAGGACAAGAGGGACAAGAAGAACAAGAAGAACAAGAAGAACAAGAAGAACAAGAAGAACAAGCATAACAATAAGAACAAGACACACAAGAAGAGCAAGAAGAACAATAGTAACAAGAATAACAAGAACAAGAACAAGACGAACAAGAAGAACAAGAATAACAAGAAGAACCGACAACCGCGACACCGACAACGAGAACCACGGCACCGACAACGGCAAGGCCGACAACGACGACGACAACGACAAGAATGACACCAATGACAACGACAACAACAACAGCAGCAGCAACAACAACCGCAACAACCGCAACAACAGCAGCAGCAACAACAGGAACGACAAGCGCAACAAGAACAACCGCAACAAACGCAACAGCCACAGTAGCCGCAACAACCGCGATGGCAACGACAACGGCAATAGCAATAAGAACGGCAACGGCAATGGCAATGGCAACGGCAACGGAGACAGCGACGACAACGACAACGACAGGGACAGGGACAGGGACGGCGATAGCGACAGCAACAGCGACAGCCGCAGCAACAGCGACAACGACAACGACAACGACAACAACAAGAAGCACAACCACAACCACAACCACAACCGCCACAACAACAACAACAACAACAACAACAACAACAACAACAACAACAACAACAACAACAACAACAACAACAACCGCAACAACCACAACCACAACAACAACAACAACAACAACAACAACAACAACAACAACAACAACAACAACAACAACAACAACAACAACAACAACAACAACAACAACAACAACCGCAACCGCAACCGCAACCGCAACCGCAGCCGCAACCGCAACCGCAACCGCAACCGCAACTGCAACAACCGCAGCCACAACCACAACCACTACCACAACCACAACCACCGCAACCACCACAACCACGTCCGTGCATCCATGCATCCATCCATCCATCCATCCATCCATCCATCCATCCATCCATCCATTTATCCACACGTTGAAAGCCAGTGACCGAACCGAATTGCCCATGTGCTTAGGGGACCCGACGTCAGTGAGTCAGGTGCTCTGCTCGCTTTGCGGCGCAAGCGGGGTCGCAGAACATCCGCAAAGGCGCAGCAGCTGTGCCAAGGGGGCCCCTCCTCAGCTGGTCACAACCGCTTTTCCTTTGGTGCATTTTGCTTGGATGTTAGGACTTTAACTTTTTGCCAGTTTTCCATTAGACCACTAAAAGTTAAACTTTCAGCAGGGGAGCAGAAAGCAACCCAGTTTCAGCCAGTCGACTTGGAGCCCTAAGAGCCTGTAGCGTACATTTTCAGAGGGATCTTGGGCCACTGCCATGAAATTGCAGGCGTTCGGAAAGTTCATCGGCAACGTTTTGCCGTGGCTGGATGAGAAGCAGGCCGATCGGCGGAGATGACCATGAATTTTGGATGAGCCACCTCAAAAGTGGCCGGTGGGCATGAATCTGCATCTAAATGATGTCCACGTGGCAGTCCCCCCCCCCTCCCAACATGTCATGTTTTTTTCAGTCATGAAATGACTTAGTAAAACAAAATATCGCTGTGTTTCCTGCTGGCAGGGCTCTGGGTCAGAAGCCAGCGGCAAGACTTGGAAAGAGCTGATTCAGCTGAAGGACTGAGCTGCGGGCGCTGTCCGCCGGTCAGCGCTCTCAAGCCGCCGGCGGGCGCGCAATTTTTTCGGGTCGGGTTGAGGGCGCTTGAGCGCCGTGCTGCTTGCAGGACCTTGGGTCCAGTTCTTTTGACAAGGCAGCCGCCCAGGATTGTAGAGAGCGTGCATGATTTTTTCCCACTAGAAATGCTGACGAGCTTGAGTTGGTAGGTCCCAAGGAAGGTAAACGCTGTGAAGCCGCGCAACCTGAGGCTCTTCAAGTGAACCTGGACTCCTCCATCTATGGCAGCTTCGCGGAAATCGGCGCCGGCCAGGAGGTGTCCAGAACCTTCCTGACTGCGGGGGCAGCAGCTGGAACGGTGCCTAGGTTTCACTTTGGCAAGCCAAAAGGGGGGGAAAACCACCAGTTGAACTGCAATATTTTTTTAGACACTTAAAAGAAAAAAACCACTGGTTGATCGCGGATCGTTGCGATCCAACGTTTTTCTTCTTTTATTTTTTTCCCAGACACACAGTAGCTGGGAAAAGGCAGCAACTGGCGATCCAGGCAACAGGAATTGGTCCCTAAGTTTGGACGCGCAGCTTCAGCGACTGAGGTTGCACGATCCCTCTCAGCCTATGACATGCAGATTTCGGATGTGACTTATGGCAAAGCAAAGCGATACGTCACCAAGGAGCGGTCGTGCAGGATATGGGTGCGCCTGTTCTTTTGGGGACTACAAAATTGTGGTGTTCCTTCCATAAAACCGACCAAAAAGGAAACCCTCAAACAACGTCACATCCATATACTTTTCTTGGCTGGGGGATCCTTACTTTAACTGTACCACTTCAGGATATTTGCAGGAAGAACTGCCCACAAGATACCTGGATGGAGCCTTGGGATGCGCAACGGAAAGCATACCCAAAGGGCCTATGCTCGGCACAAGGCCCTTTTCTGGCGCAATTTTTCTGCTCGCGAGTCAGGAGCGGCTAGGGCAGATGCTGAAGACAGAGTACGACACTCTGGAGGTCGCGAGTGATGTATTCCCAGAGAGGAGGTAATTGATGGTCCCTTGGCAGCTTGGGTTCCTTCGGCAAGACCCCAAAAAGGAAGCCCTCCAGGCGGCATGAGACATATCCATATGACCATGAGTTTGCACAGAAGCAGGGGGACGACCCAACCTAATGGTGCTTAACCGAAGTACAGTAGAAGAAAAGCCAGGAGTCTTGCTCCACGCGGTTGATCCCGCTTGCGCTTTCCCACGATTTGGTCCATTCGTTTTTTTTCAGGCCAGCATCCGGGAAGAGAAGGGCCCACAGACTCGCTTCTTTGCAGTGGCCACCACCTTGGCCGCGAAGGCGTCGGGAGGATTTCCCCCCGTCTGATGCACCTTGACGAAGCTTTGAGATGGGAAGTGGTGCCAAGGGAATTTTCCCAGACCCCCCGCTCCCTCCGTATCCCCGCTTGTTCGTTTGTTGGAAAGGTATGACAACATTAAAGGTTTTGATCCAGGCATGAACATGTACGAGGAATCGCCTCCCAGATGGTTGGTGCATGAAGTCCCACCTAAATGATGTCCACAAAGGGGGCCCCAAATCAAAAATCACACCTGCACCACCTTGTCGGCTTTATGGGCAATATTCATATACGGAACGCTGTCCTCCATACCTATGGAGCATAACCTAGCATTATGAAGGGAATCCTGGTGGAAGCTTTGGGGTATGAGCTTAACAGGTCTGTGGCAGGCTTGTTGGCTGAGATCTTCGGCTGATTTGAATCGAAGCAGCAAGCACCGGTGGGATTCCAAGGCGAGCAAGATTGAAGCTTCGAGCTGAATCTATCTTTCCGACTGAATCTTGAACTCTCCGCCAGGCCTACATGTCCAATCGTGAATGCGAGGGCTGGGTTGGCATGACCTTCCAGCACCAGGCCGAAAAAAAGAGCCGCGCGCGCATGTCCGGTCGTTTCCGGAAACGTCGTGCGTGCTCGCTGAGCAGGCTGGTGCCCAGCCGAGCACCGCGGGAGCCGGCATGTCTTGCAACGAGACGTCGTGGCAAATGGGCTTCGTCTCCAAGGGGAACCTCGTTTTGGGCGGTTTCCTATGGGTTTCTCTTTAAGCCAAACCCTGAGAGGGAATCAAATCCGAGAAAAGACACACCCGCATCTGCGTATCCCCCGTAATTCCACAATGGAACTGGGGATCAGGGGTTCGGACTCAAACTCCGTCTCTTGCTGACGAGTTCCCAGCAAGCTGGAGAATGGGAGAGCCATACATCTGACACTAGGAAGACTTTGCCTCCGGTTCGAAGACTAGAACAAAGACTGTGGGAGCAGGGTTTTGTGAACACTTAGAACATATTTCGAAGCCAAGAACCCCCAAACTATGGATTTTTCAGGTGCAGCTTCATGTTCGCATGGCCGACGAGACGGCGCAGCTGCAGGGCGAGGCCATCGGCCGACTGGGTGCGCCGGGCTTCGGTTTTGGATCGGTTGGCTAAATCAAAGCTGTGGGGTTTGTCAAAACCGTTGTGGTTGATCCCATTTTGGTATGTGAATTCACCACCCTTCTAGTGGTTGGATTGAATCGGATGTTCACTAAAGGTACGATTTGGATTTTGACCCATGGCCAGATGGGTTTTCGGGTTTTCGGCCGGGGTTTCCCTTTCGAAGGCTTCAAAGGGCCGAGAGGGTGCTTGCAGTCTTCGGAAGCAACCTTGGACACCGATTCTCAGGTACAAATCTGGTGTACCTGTGCAACTTCGCGAAGGATGCACTCGACCATGCTGAGATCCATTCAAAAGCCCGAATCCAGGGAAGGTACCGAGAAAACACGAAGGATGGTTGCACCGGCACCGCTTCCTATTGTGGAGTGGGGTCATACCCCATGTGCTTTAGGTTTGCACGGACCTCAGGACCCAGTCGTCATCACTTCCTTCCTCCTTGACGGCATCGAGGAGCTCCAATCTTTCATATGTCGCATCAGTTGACCCTGGAACAGGGCTTCTAAAGGTCCTTTTATCTTGTGGTTTCGTCTAGCCATGTTGGCGGTGGGTCAAAACCAATGGTACCATTTTGGGGTGGGTGCACCACCCATTTTAGTCTATTTTAGTGGGGATTGGGTACGGGAGTTTGACCCATGGCCATTTGTGCTTTTCAAACTATCCCGGACGCTTTCCTTGAGCAAGCGAACCGGTTTCTGCTCTTTTGGAAACTGGGACATGAGATTCGGTCAACACCTCCGTGGCGAATTGAGAATTTTGGGACATGGGAGTCAGTGTGTTCCACCAAAACAACGGGACGGAACCCGAAATTCCCCCACGCCCATAGAAAAGGAGTCTTCATATTTTGATCTTGGCTCATGTGACCTTTCATCTCATACACCAAACCGTCCCATGCATTTCTATGTTTGTTCGATATCCGAGTCCCCCAAGAAGGTTAATGTTGAAATCCATACTGCTATGCTGTGTTTGTTGGTTGACCAGTTGCGTCCTTCCTTCCGCTCTTCGCTTCGCGTTCTTCTTCTTCCTCAGCTTCTTCTCGTGCTTTTCTCTGAAGCTCTCGGTGCTCTGCTCGTGTTTTTGCCCACCTCCCACGCGGCTTTGACGCGGAGGAGGGCCGCCTGGAAGTGGACTTCGTGGAGTTCACGGGGCCCGCCTTCCCCAAGGCCCGTCGTCTTGGGGACAGAGGCACAGCAGCACAGCCCCCCATCGGTTTGGTGGAGAGGGGGAGGCTTGGACCAAACCAGCCACTGGAGAAAAATGAGGGGCCCCTTAAAAGCCCCCAAACTGTGTAAAGAGAAGCCGCTTTAGGGGAGAAACACAAGCCACTGCGAACCAAACTGTTTTGGTTGGTGTGGAAGGGAACTGTTCAAAGGCAAGCACCACCCCCAATTGTGGAGGGCTACCACCGATCTTGAGACTGTTTGGGTTCCTTCTTGGTGCCTGTAAACCAAGCCAAACGGGATACCATGCCCGTATTGTGTGCGAGTTTGTTTGCTGTTTGTTTGTTTGTTTGTTTGTTTGTTTGTTTGTTTGTTTGTGTGCGTGTATGGGACGGGGTTGATCAATATTCCCTCCGACCCCAAAATGACTAGCAACTTTCATTTGGAGTGGTTTCCCTAATGGTCATCCCAGATGTAAGGACCATTTGATCAACCCCCGCGTTTTTTGTGTTTTTTTTCTCCATGAGTTTCCATTTGTGCACGAAAAGGATCAAGGGGAAAGCAAAACAAACTATGGTTTGGAGTGTCCCCAATTCGGAGACAACCCCTAAGTGGGTTTGCGCGACCCAACATGGGAAAACCTGATTCATGCTTCTTGCCTCAACAAAGACGCCTGCATGGCTTCCGGTTTTGCCGACACCATTGATGATTGGGGGGTAGTCTGGGTACTATTTACCGAATTCCCGTGCCATAGGAGGACGCAATTCATTTAGTCCATGTGTTTCTGTGCATGTATACATGTGTGTGATCCCGTCAATTTTTCTGCTGAGCTTTGTTGGGTACTTGCGCAGGAGAAGATGGACTATCGCTTGCTGGCGATGAAAATGGCAGGTATCTTAGATATTGGCAATTCCACATCGAAGCTGCACCTTTGTCGCACTGCAAGGTTGAGTTCAAAGTCGCTCCTTCCGTGCTCTTGGTCTATGACGAACAGAAAGGATCGTGCGCTTCGGGTGGTTTCTGCGGTTTCTATCTTGGTGTGACTGGCTTGGTCAGGTACGTCCACGCTGTGCCCAACAACTCCTTTTACAAGACTCCCGTGGTGGTGCAGAGGCCATGCCTCCGGCATGCCTTGCCGTGGGAAGTTTCAACCTTGGGAGGTCGCGCTTCAGACCGGTGACCTTCGCGCACCGCGAGGTGATCGAGGCAAGCGCGCGGAAACGCAGGGTTTAGCGCTTGGTTCCATAGGGTGCCATTTAGGATTTACCAGGGTTTTATAGGGTTTTATGGGGTTCCATAGGGTTTTATGGTGCCATAGGGTTCCATAGGGTTCCATTTAATACCAGGGTTCCATTTACCAGGGTTTCATTTACCATTTTTTGACCCACATCTCTCGCGGATCCGAGTTTTGGGATCCGAGGCGGCGTCCAAAAAGCTCAGCCGAGAGCTGGGCTCGGACTCGCGGCCGGTGATGCAGGCGCTCAGAAGGGGGGGGATGGCTGGGATGGGTGGGATGGGTGGGATGGGTGGGATGGGTGGGATGGGTGGGATGGGTGTTTGGAAGGTTGGAAGTCCACTTGAGGATGGCCTGCTTTTTTTTGTTGGGAACCCCCTCCCAACAAAAAGAATGGTGGGATTCCATTTCAGGCTTTTCTGGTTTTGGGGTACCCGGAAATGCTGGGATCCCGCTTGGTCTTTCTTCAAAGCCAAGCAACCAGAGGGTCTCTGGAGTCGAAAAGAACCGCAGCCACCGGCTCCAGCGAGACTTGCCGCAGTCCTTCGGTCCAGGCGTCGGGAGGGAAGGGCTGCTCTGAGCGCTGGGTGATGCAACAAATCAGCACGGCGCGGAGGTTTGAGACATGAGCCACGTGCTCAAAACTCGGGGATTGATGAAGGTTGGTAAGGGACAATCCCAGCCATAAATAGCTGCGGATATCCGCCTTCTTACTTCTGTACATCGCGCGGGGTAGACCGTTTTAATACCAGATTTTGATTGTGACTCACATGGGGGTTGATTTCACGGGCCGTAAAATTTGCGATGACCCTCTGGGAAAACCACTCAACAGATGATATTCGCAAAACCAAATGGGAACAGTTGCCCATGGTCATTTGGGGTTCGAATCATCTTGCCCAGTGCTTGGCAGGTCAACGACAGAATGGCCAGTGTCAGTGCATCTCGCCACGGGGAATATTTGTTTTTCCAGACTCACTGCACATTGCTGTCATGGGGAGTTCATCGGGATTTTCCAGACTCATGGCTGTGGGTCAAAACCAATGGGATCCCATTTTGGTGTAGGTGAATTCACCACCCATTTAAAAACCTATTTTGGCGGGGATTGGGATGTTCACTGGGGGTACTATTTTGATTTTGACCCATGGCCACATTGCTTTGCGGAGCTCTTGAAAGTCTCTGGCACAAGCATTGCTCTTGAGCTAAGGCGAGTTGTGAAGACAATGGCCGGCATTCGCTGATGCTTGCAGCCCCTCAGCACAAGAAAATTTGCCGCCTCTTGCGAGCTCGATGCCTCGAATGATTGGGCATGACGTGTTCAGGAGGAGTCGCCACCATCGCAAAGCCTAGAGTCGAGGCCTGACACTCAACTCTGAAAGATGCCCTTGCGCAGGAGTGCATAGTAACACAATGTGTATTACTTACACATGCCAGCAGTATGGACACGTATATAACTGAAAACACACTGAGATTTCTACATTATATATATACATATATATATATAACAGCAACTGTATGGATACGTATATCCAATCTAGCCAGTATCGAGCGCATGCCCTGGTGCTCGACGTGCGCGAATTTCCATTCTTTGGCCAAGCGCCCTCCGCATTGCTCCGCTTTGCGCGCAGGGTGGCGAAGCCTTCCTTCGCGACGCGGTTGCTGATGACCATGGGCCCCGGGTTGATGGTGTGCTTCGCCGACACGGACGGCTCTTGCCTCATCACCGCGGCCGACTCGGGCTCCGAGTGGAGATACAAGCAACTCGGCCTAGCAGGGTTCCGGAAAGGTGTCGTTTTGTTTTGGGGGGCCCCACCAAAGCCCCACAAAAGACTTACCCTCGAAAAGGACACACCCATGTAGGTGTGTTGTGCTTCAGAAGGAGGTGTCTTTTTAGAGGCGTTTCATTGGGTGGCAATTCCGCTGACCTAACAAAGAGCTGAGAGCCAATTGTGCTGCAATCCGAAGCGTATTCTGGCAAGGGCGCTGCGGTTGAGTGTTGCAGGCTGCTGCTGCTGCAAGCAATCTTAGTGCCCATCCTCTACTTTGCCCAGGACCGAGTGAGACGCGTATATAGAAAATCCCTAAATGGCTGTGGGTCAAGATCAATGGGATCTCATTTTGGGGTAGGTGAATTCACCACCCATTTTAGAACCTATTTTGGTGGGGATTGGGATGTTCACTGGGGGTACGGGCTTTTGACCCATGGCCAAATAGTGACGCCCACACTCAGTCAGGAGCTGACCGTGCGGCTTGCGCTGGTCAAGGGCAAGGCGCGATCTCTTGAGCAAATTGCTGGCTGTGGGCGTGAGCACTGGATGAACCCTAGGGCCTGTGCGCGCTGCTGAGAGCAGAGGCCGGGCAAGCTGGGTGTCTCGTGAAATATGTGTCGCAAACCAGTTGAAGCTTTCAGCAAAACCGTGTGCGTGTTTGAAAGGGATCTTTTTTGGGGTTGGTTTGAACGGAAACCAAGAGCGACGCCACCAGTTTTGGAGTCCCCTGAAAAAAGACCAGCCCCCCTCCCCCCCCGCCAAAATCTCTTTTTCGACCGCGTCCCCTCCCATTCACGGCGCCTCCTCATCCAACCGCGAGCCATGAGCAGGTGGGCCCCCGGGTGGCCTGGATAGTGGCGGTACCGCTGCTCATCGACTGCGTGCTAGCGCTGATCTCCGCAGCTTGCAGATATTGGGTATGGCTCAAAATTAAACAGGGGATTACGCAGGTTCTGGTCCATGTTTCCACTTACCTGGGTTCCATTTTGGTACCGTCTTTTTTAGCAAAAGCCATATTGGGTATGGGTCGAAATTAAAGAAAGGCTCTGGGCCATGGTTTTTGGGGGGGTACCCCCAGGTTGTTTTAGGGAGACCTAAAGCAAATTTAGCCATGTTGAGGGTCCACATTTTTGGTATGGGGCAAAATTAGTCACCGCAAGGCCGCAAGGATATGGACCGCAGGAATTTTAGTCCATGTTTCCACTCTCCAGGGCAAGCCATTTTGCATTTTGGGCTTCGCGCGGTGATTGGTGAGTAACGGCGGGGTTGACTTTTAAACACATCTCCATGGATCTTTATGTTTTGTGAACCATGGTTCTGAAAAGTAAGGCAGGCGGTTTGGGTCGATGGGTTGTTTCCATGTTTTTTTCAACCATGGTTCTTTCCTGAAAGCCACTTTTTTATCCCAGGCTTTTGATGTGTCGGATGGTTTTCTGAGAAACACATGTTGGACAAGGGGGAAGTGATCCCTCGAGTGAGAAGCTGACGATTTGACCCGGCTCTACGCCTTGCCGATTCGATCCAGTTTTGTGGGGGCCGAGGAGCTGAATGTTTTCGGGCAGACCCTGCTGGCTTGCTGGGATGTGCCTCTTTGGGTCGGCGCCCCAGCTTCGAAACCGAACCGATGCTTGCCAGGGAGATGGCGACCAGGTGCCAGTGGCCAGTGGAAAATGGGTGGGCGAGAACCTAAGGTTTCTAGCAGCCTCTTTGCCCTGGGGCTCATATTCTTGGCCCTCACAGGCAGCTACGCCATAGCAGAGAAGGCAAGGCCTCGCCGCGCTTCGCGAAAAGGCAAACCGCGCACGTGCGCGCGCGCGAAAAAGACAGCGGCGAGGTGGGCTTAGCCATGGGCATCCTGCAGGTGTCCCTTGGCTCGAAAAAAAGGCGTTTGAGATGAGTCCAGGAAGGGGGTGTGCTGTTTGGAAGGCTCCCTTTAAAAGCCAAAGCCATTCTTGGGTCCCTCAACAAAGAATGACACACCCAGATGTCCGAGGTTCTTTTTTGCCACCATCTTCATGAACCATCCCAGCGGCAGTGAAGTCTGGAACGACCTTTGGTCGTTCCCCATGCTTCTTGCTTGCAACACATTGGCATACTCCCCGGATTGACATCCGGAACCCCCTGGAGGCTCCGCTAGAGAGGAGCCTTGGGGTTCTATGTTGAGGGGAGTATGCCCCGTTCCCCCTCATGTGCCCCTTGCGCAGAGTTCGATTGCAGTACCAACGGGAGCTATGTGAAGCTCGTGACAGCCAACATCGGCGCAGTGATCATGCCGCTTGTTCCAAAGCTCCAGCCATGGCAAGACCCCATTGAACAGGGTCTTTTAGACGAGACATTTGGGCGTGTCTTAAAATATATAGGCGCACCCCAACATGTGTGGTTTCCTCTTGGTTTCACTTGACATGTTCAAAAAGAAAGGCTACCCTCAAAACGAGACATACCCATCTGGACAATTCAATCGCCTTTTCCAGCTGATTTAGAGGATTCCCTAGGTGGTTGCCTTGTTTTGGAACCTGGTTGAAATCAAACTGAGCCAGCGAAAGAAGGAGCTTTGGTTGAGCTTGGGAAAGGACCGGCCGGGTCTTTTGAGCCTTCAGCCCCGGTTTGCTGACTTCTTATGAGCTCCGACCCAGGCCCTGGATGCTGGCGTATCAGCAATCTGCCCTTTGCGAGAAGGGGCTGGCAGGAGACAGCTCCGTGGATTTTTCCCTTTCCGTTCCCAGCGATTTTTCCAGTGCTTCGCGCCCAGGAGAGTCAGATTCGGAGAACCTGCTCATTGAGCGGATAGACACTGCCGTGGGTTCCTTGCTTACGCAGGCAGCTTGTCTCGATTCGAGCAATGACCTCATTTGAGCCACAAGCAAAACTGAAGGTGAAGGGTGGTAAGGGACAATCCCAACTAGAAATAGGTCCGGACACCGCCTTTTGGATCCTTTCCATATTTTGCGGGTTTGTCTTTTAATGGCCCCACCCAAATGCTGGTATTCTTTAGGGCTTCCCTTTGAAGCCACCAAAAACTACCTCAAAAAGAAATCACAGCCATATTTTCCTATAGTCTCCTCTGGGTTTTAGGCTTCGATTTCGTAGCTTCTCCAAATCTCCATTCTCGCCAGGGCGTCATGGCAGCCATGCTCATGACGGTGGCGGCCTCCAAGATGTACGTGGGACAGGACATCGAGACCGCCGCGCCCTTGAACGGCAAGGGCTTCTCGTCATTGTTGTTGCGGGTATTTAAGGGAACGCCTCAAGGAACGACACGCCCTTTTGAAGCACCAAATGCCTGCGTGGGTGGCTCGCCTGTTTTTGGCGGGTAGCCTCTTTTTTGGGTGGTTTTAAAGAGAAACCAAAAGGACCCCCCCCCCCTTCTTTTGGGGGGGCGGGGGGGCAAACAAAAGGACAGACCCATTTGCCTGGCCATGGATTTCGTAGTGACGAGGTCGATCAGCTGCTCGCGATCTTCAGCATGACCTTGCACGG